GGATGCCAAGGGCCTGTGGCTGAGATCAAAATTGGATTCCATGGCTCATGCCTGTAACCCTAGCTACTCAGGAGGCTGAGAGCTGAGGATCCAGGTCGGAAGCCAGCTCAGGCAGAAAAGCCATGAGATTCTGGTCTCTAATGAACCAGCCAAAAGCAAGAAGTAGAGGTGTGGCACAAATGGGAGAGCATCAGCCTGTGCAAAAAAAAAAAAAAAAAGCTGAGGGACAGCACCCAGGCCCTGAGTTCAAGCTACTCAGGAGGCTGAGAGCTGAGGATCCAGGTCAGAAGCCAGCTCAGGCAGAAAAGCCATGAGATTCTGGTCTCTAATGAACCAGCCAAAAGCAAGAAGTAGAGGTGTGGCACAAATGGGAGAGCATCAGCCTGTGCAAAAAAAAAAAAAAAAAAGCTGAGGGACAGCACCCAGGCCCTGAGTTCAAGCCCCATAACTAACACAAATAAGTAAATAAAGACTGGAGACATAGTTCAGTGATAAAGTGGATTGAACCTGGCAAAAGGAGGGGCGGGGGACACACAGAGAAAAGCAGACAGGTTGCAAGATAATCTATTGTAAAACAGGAGTAGAATTCTGAGAATAACCCCTGCAGTGTCTATGGGATCTTGTGTCCTTGGGGGTCCCTGATGTGATCGCAGGTCATTTTCTGCTTTGTCCTCCATCTCACCTTCCAGAAGAGCAGAATTTCCTAAAGTTTGACTTAGAGCCAAGCAACTTATGTCAATACGTGCTTTTCGCTATGTCATATTAGGATTATTATCTTGACTTGCTGGAAAACAAAAATAATTTACTCAACTAGTTTGAGTATTAAGTGAGATTATTTAAATAAGTGTTTCATAAACTTTAAGTACAATGTAAATACAAAATAGTAAGAATACAGGAAGTATAGGCTGGGCTCTTTCCCCTAGATTCCAAAGCCACTAAGCTAAGGAAAAGTGACATGCAAAAAGTAGAAAAGGATGGGAGAGGAAGCGCAGACTTTTGCAAAGTCTTCAAAACAAAGGTAAGCGAGTGGTGTGATTTGCATTATTTATGCAGGGAAGAGGTGAATTACCCTGCTGGGTTCATGAAATCACTGCAAGATGGTCACAGCCTAGCCCCAGGTCTGTGACTGGACTAGGTCAACTTCTTCAGCAAGCCAGAGCCCCTCTGACCTTAAAATATAAGATGATTGTACATCCCTCGTGCAGGACACAGAGCCCAGCAGTATGCAAAGTTAAAAAAAAAAATCTGCCTTTCCTGACACTAGAAACAAGGGAAATCAGATGTCTGGGTGAGTCTTATCCTCCCCTACCCATCTATGCCACAGCCCCTCATGGAAATAATTCTAATCGTTTGAGAGGAATGAAATAAATGCACCCTTCAACAATTTGATGAATTGTTATCAATGATGATGGTGATTGGCTTTTCTTCTGCCTCACCTCTTTGGTAATTAACAGGCGATGTGAGTCTTAGGGAGTTTCCTGTCCAGGCTGGCTGCAAACCTCTACCCTTAGATCTCAGCTTCCTAAGTAGCTAGGATTACTGGTGTAATACACTGGTGTCTGGCTTAAGGGGTTTTTATTTTATTTTAGCCTTGACAAGGTTTCCAGGCTGTGAAAAGTAACTTAAAAAAAGCTCTGTTTATTTCTTTGCTTGGCCTTGAGGTGGCTTCAGAAGACACCAAATGGAACTATGTATCTAGAGAGAGAGAAAGAAAGACAGAGACAGAGAGAAACAGGTGAAAACATTTGTCAGTAGCCAGCAAGAAACAGGCACCATCTCAATTTTACCTAGGCAGTTTCCCAGTTCAGTTAACATTCATGTGAGTTACGAAATTTATATGTGACAAACCTGAGTCCATAGAGATAGACAGATGGATGGATGGATGGTTTTTCTTTCAGCACTAGAAATCTTTGAAAGTTATTGAATCAGTTTCAAGCAGTGGCCCTGAGACATTTAGGGAGTGATAGAGCCAGAACCCTTACACTTGTTTTTCCACCTTGAGAAAAGCAAATATCCTAAGCAGCTGCAGGTATTATGCAGCGATTCCTCTTTCCGGGTGTTTTTCTAGTTGTAAAGACCCCAGGCCTTTTCTTCACAGAATGCATTAACAGCCTAAAACTTCAAGTTTGGCAACTAGTCGTAGGGTTGAGGTGGGGCTCATTCGGGGCAGGTGGCTATAAGGCTTTTTGTGTTTCTCAGGAACATCCACCAGATTCAAAACCTCTTCTAAGGTTGGTGGCAGTGGCTCATACCTGGAATCGTAGCTACCCAAGAGGCTGAGAACTGAGGATCTCCTGAGAGGATCAGCCTGAGCAGAAAAGCCAGCCAAAGCAAGAAAGTCAATGAGACTCTTATCTCCAAATAATCACCAAAAAGTTCGAGTGACAGAAGGCCAGCCTTGAATGAAAAAAGCGACCAGGCCCTGAGTTCAGGCCTCAGTATAAACACACACACACACACACACACACACACACACACACACACACACACACACACACACACACACACACACACACACACACACACACACACACACAGGCTCGAGCAAAAGGTACTTATTGGCTCTCGCAAGTCTGACCTCCGGCCAAGGTGAGTTTTAAGTCTCCACATTTTCCTCCTCCAAATTTGAAAGAGGCTTTTTAATTCTCCCTGCCCTTCCTCCTGGTCCTGCAAAGTTTGTTTTCCAGCTGTAAACTGGCGGGCCTCTCGCTTTGCATCTCGCCTGCGCGGGAATCGCATTAATTAGCCAAGGTGGTGGCAGAGGAAAGAAAAGCTACCTTTGTGTACCTAATGAGAACCACCGCGCGGCCAAGGCTAACGACCAGGAAGAAGGAAACCTCTGCGTCCCGCCGGCAGGGGCCAGCGGACCCTTGGCGTGCGCGGTGCCGCGGTTCCGACCGCCTCCGGGGCCGCCAGGGCCGTCTACGAAGTTAGCAAACAAAGCCTCTCGGCCGCGACTGCCCGGTGGCAGACCGGGCTGCTGCCACTCAGACCGCAGGGTCGGAGCTGCGCCCGCCCCTGGCTCCTCCTCCCCCGGCGCCTCCTCCCTCGCCTCCCGGTTCCAGCGGATGTGAGCCACCAATCCCAGCAACAAACAACCCTTCAAATGAAAGAGCAACACGGCCCTCTAACGGGCGGCAGGGGCGCCGGCCCCCACCCCGCGCCACAGCTGTCCCGCAGCCGGGCGCCGCGGCGGATTCATCTCCAGCCAGGCCCGGGAAGGACCTTGCGCTTAGGGCTGCGTCTCCCAGGCTGGCGGTTCGTCCTCGGGACCGTGTTCTTCCCCACCTCCTTCCCCCTCGAGCCCAGCCACCTCCCTGGAGCTGTTTTAGCTGTGCTGAACAGTCAGCCAATCATCGAAGGGCGGGGGGGGATCGCGAGGTGACGGCCGGCCTCACGGTGACGCCTTTCCCCTTGTTGATTCGCTTTTAAGTCCTGTAATTGGAAAAACCACCCATGCTTTTTAAACAACGCCGGCCTTAGCACACACCCAGGGTGGGGGGTGTCTCGGGGAAGGGACGCGGGGGAGGCTGGCTTTCGTTTTTCAGCGCGATCCTAAAACAGAGGATCTAAAGTCTAGCTCGTCATCCCCGGGCCGCCCCGGGCTTAAACCTAGTCCACGGCGGGGTCCCCATCAAGGTTGCTAAAAAGACAACCACCCAGGGCCGAGACTGGAGACGGACTTGTTTGTGGATTTCTTTCTTTTTCTTTCCTTCTTTTCTTTCTTTCTTTCCTTCCTTCTTTCTTTTTATTCCTTCTTTCTCTTCCTTTCTTCATGTTCGTCTTTCTCTCCGCTCTCTCAATTCTTGTGGCATTTTGACAGTTCTGTCGCTTTACTTCAACATCCAAAAAAAAAATGGCCCTACAAAAAAATAGACCCAGAGGTGTTTTGAAATCTCACCGAAAAGCAGCTGACTTTTTAAACGGGGGGATTGCATCAAGGAACTGCTGCTGGAGTCCTCCAAAACCCTCAACCAAAATAGACCAATAGGCACACGTGTTTACTTAATGGCTAGTTTCTGTTTGAAACACCGAAGTGGGGAGGGAGGGTCTCCTAGCGGGTGTAAGTCCTGAAAGTAGACTGTTTACCAACACGGATGAGCAGTCACGGCGTGGTCGCCCCCTTTCCTACAGAGCCGACAGCTGCTGGGGTTGGGAGGTGTGTGGAGGGTTCTGGCCGGGTCGCCGAGGGGCGGGCGCGCGCCCCGTTTGTCTCCCGGCCGCGACAGTTTAAAGAGCATGTGAGTATGACAAGTGTCTCTCCGCAACGTGTTAGATTTCGAAACTGCTTTGCAATCCATTCCGGAACTCGCAGCTTTAGCCTGGGGGGACAGACATTCGCCCGGGCAGGAGGATGCCTTATGGCTCCCCCCCCCCCCCGCGCGCCCCACTGTCCCGGTTGGAGGAAAAGTGCGGGGAGCAGGGTGCGCCGCGCCGCGCCCGCGTGTCAATGGCAGCCGCACATTCTAGAAGAAGTTGGTTCTTGTCCCGAATACTTTTCCCCTCGGGCCCCGCCCCTTGAATCCGAAGCGGCTGTCTTCAGTGGCTACGATAGTCTGCGGACTTTGAGGGCAGCTGTCAAAAAACAAGCCGGAGTGCTTTTCCTTCCCGGGGGTGGGGGAGGGGAGGGGAGGGTACGTCCTGCCACCCCCCCCCCGCACCCCACCCCCCATCTGTTGCTATTTCCTAACCAAACGCACTCTTCGCCAGCCCCCGGGAAGAAAGGCCCAAAGGAAAAACCTGGAACGCCCGGGCTGGTGTCTCCGCCGAGGGGCGAGGGATGCGGGCGGTGCGCGCGCCGCAGACAGGAAGGATCGTGTTCTTGGCCTCGGCCACCCCCGCGTAGAAGCGGGCTTCTAGCGGTCGCGGTGCTCGGTCCGGTTCACCCGGGCTGGAAGGTGCGGGGGGAGGGGCGGAGGATCCGAGAGGCGGGCGGGGGGGGGGGGGGGGACGGGGCGGGCGGCTGGGGGCGGAGGCAGGACCTCCAGTACCTTCCCTCTTCGCCTCTGTGACAGCGCCGAGGTGCGCCGTTCAGGAGCGAGGAACAAAGGAGCGGGGTGGGGAGGGGAGCGAGTTGGGCGTGGGAGAGCCCCCGGCCCGCTGCCAGAAGATCCCGACCGGAGGAAGCCCAAGTGTCACTTGAATTCCGCCCCAGGAGCTGGCGCCTGGGATCCGAGCGCCTTGTTTAGCAATTACGGTGGGAGCACGTCCTATAAGTTACGGGAAAGTCGGCGGCGAAGGAGGACGATCCCTTGTCCCCCTGTGGCCTCCCTCCTGGCCCCTCGAGACCCCAGGATCGCCTGGATCTGGGAGGGGAGTTCCAGAATGAAAAGCAAGAAAGGTAAGGCAGCACGCCGCAGGCTTCCGCGCACCCTGGGCGCGAGGCCGGGGGACAACGTGCTGGCCCCGTTGGGCGCCAGGCGAGAGTGACTTGGGTGTACTTTTCCGCCCAGAGGCTCGGGTTGGAGCGGTTGGCCGTTCCCTTTGTTGGGGCTGTGTCTGGAATGGCAGTTGCTGTTTTCCTTCCAGACACCACACGAGGGGCTGTTGTGGGGAGACGAGCCTCTCCACGCTGCTGGCACGTTGTCAAGAAACATGTTCTGCGCCTTGTTTGTGCGCCTCCAAGTTTCATTGTCTCCGCCGACACCCCATGCTCAGCCCAGCCGCGTGGCTTCTATAGCTCTGTCTCTGGGGCGGGGGGGGGGGTGCACAGTCGGTGTCTGGGGTACCCCGCACCTCATGTTTTAGTGGGGAGTCACTCCCCCACTTTTGTCTGAAAGTTCTCCCTTGGGCCCCCATACTCTCAAGGATCTGAGGTTTTCCACAACTGAAGGAAGGTGGGCTCGGACCCCGCACTGCGCCCTGGAATGTACTCTCTAGACTCTCAGAAACATTGTTTTTCTCCGTCTCAGAGAGTTTTCCCACGATCCATTTTGGGCAAGATGAGGAGTTAGGACGCTGGGCCGGTGTGCAGTCAGGACGCGTCCAAGTACGACCAGCAGACTTGGTTGTAAGTGTCGGGAGCCAGGCTGTCATTGTTTCCACGCAGCGTCCTGGAAGCTGTACAACTAAAACTTGCCGTCCGTCTGCTTTAAAAAACAAAAAATACGAGGGAGGAAGGAACCCTGAAAGGTCAAAGACTGAAGTCCCCTTTTGAAGTTAACTTTGGAGTCCCTGGCTGGGAGGTCCCCCGAGTGCTCTGTCGTGGACTGGAGTTGGCTTTTCTGTTGTGATTTATGTCGAGTGGTTCAAAACAGAAGTTAATCGCTCCGGAAAGCTTGCTGGAGGTGGGGGGGGGGGGGGGTTCGACGCAGCTGCGCATGCCCAGAAGCTTCCTCGAGTTTGTGACTGCATTCTTTCAGACTCGTCCCGCGGCTTGCCATTCCTCATCCAGCAGGGGGGTTGGGGAGGGGGGGCTTTGGGGGTCCCTTTGTGAATTTTAAACTTAGAGTTCTGTTGAGATTTTGTGCGAGACCCTGAAACACGTACAACTTCCCTGTCCACCACCAATTCCCCCCCCCCTTCCCCGCCGAAGAGTGAAAACCCCGGGCTCTGGGTAGTGAGACCCCCTGCCCAAGGACCGAGCGATGCATTCTGGGACGCTTAAAGTTTGGGGTATTTAAAAAAAAAAAAAAAGTGAAGTCCGGGCGGTCTCGCCGCGCCGGGGCCGCGCTGGGAGCGCCGGGGACGCGCCCGCACGGTCACGTCGCCCCTGGGGGTGACAGATCCGAAGCCCCAAGGCACCCGTTCTCGTGACGGTGGCGCGCTCCGGCAAAATGGGGGTTTCTGGTTTTGAGGAACGGGTCGAACGCTGCGCTCCGGCGGGGGGAAGGGAACCCCTATTGTTCCTGCTCTGGCTGGGCGTCTGTGCGCTCCCTCCGGAACCCCTTTCCCCTCCCCCCCTTCGGGTACCGCCCCCGAAGCCCCTGGCTCTCCCATCCCCCACCCTCTCGAGGATCTCCCCCCCCTTCTCGGACGCCCCCCTCCCCCATTCGAAGGCCCAAGCTGGGAAACAACGCTTTCCGTGTTCCCCAGTTTCGGGCACACAGGGGTCCCGCGAGCAGCGCCAACTCATGGAAACAATGAAAGGTGACGTGTAGAGGGGAAACTTTTCTCGGCGGCCCGTGGGGGGGGGGGGGGTGGCCGGGGTTCCTTTCTCTCCGTAGGCTTCCCTAGCACCTGGTCTGGGATCGGGTGCAGGCCCCTGAGTGTGTGGGATCGATTCACAGCCCACCGGGAGCTCCTTGGTGACCCGGAGGTCCTCCACGGTGCCAAGTGCTAACAGTCTGCGGCCTGATCTCAAGTTTGGGGTTTTTGAACTACCGGCAGGAACAAAAGCAGCCTGCTTTCCTGCTTTCCTTCGTGGGGCTCCTCCTCTGCCCGTTAGCCTCCGCTGCCTGACCTCCCCCTGCCTGCGTCTGGACTACCTGGGGGGGGGGGGCTGCCCGGGCCGGAGAAGTCGGTCCCGCCTATTGTCTGTCTGGGCCAAGTCTTGGATATCTTTAAAACTGTCCTTAAAACAAAGACACTTGGCCAGTCGCTGGGGTGCGTCCAGCCCTGGTGTGTGATAAAAACTGCAGTGCAAAAGTCTTAAGGGTGGCTTTAAAAGCAGGAACAAGGTTCGACGGGGAAAATACGCCCCCCTCCCCCCCCCCCCGGCCCCAGCTTGAACGCTTGCTTTGGGGTCGCTGGGGCTGGGGCCGGCCATGCGCATGGCAAGTTTAGTACCTCGGTTCCTCTGGCTTAAAGAGTCCGAGCGGGAGCTGCGTTGGATTGGGCTTGCTTTTCCTGAAACTTTTCCTTTGATCGTTCCTTCCTCCGCCCCCCAGATTATTTTTTTTTCTCTTTCTTTTCCAACTCTGCAGTGTGTTTTTAAAATCCAGGGTACCCGCGGCCTCTGCGCCCCCCCGCCCCCGCCTCGCCTTGCGGGTTCGGCGATTGGAAGCGCGCCTTGGGCGCGCTGGGGTCCCCGGCGGCCCGGTGGCTTTCCCGGCGACATTTCCTTGTGTGTGGATGGAGTCAGGAGCTTGTGATTCCCTACCCGCCCCGACCACATTTTTTTTCTCTCTTTCTCGTTCCGAGCTAGGCGTTTGGAAACAAGTCGTAACCGGGAAACTTTTCAAAAGCTCAGTTACAGTAGGAAATGAGTAACGAGAAAAAGTCTTTGTTTTTCCAAGCGGAGCCACCATGGGGGGGGGGGGGAGTGTTCATGCAAACAGTCCTGACAGCCGCGAACGTGCTCGGAGCGGCCGGGCAAGTCAGCTGGCCAACCGACCCACGGACACCCAAGTCCGCACTTCCTGCTCCCGCAGCTGGGGGTGGGGAGTGGAAATAGCTGTGAAAGCGTCCAGAGGGCTTTTGTTATTATGATGATGATTTTTAATGAGCTGATTAAAGTCGCCCTGAGTTTTGGTGGTGTGTCACTTCATCTGAAAGACCCGAGCTTCTGGCCAAACTAAGCAGAGTTTTGTTGTTGTTGTTTTATTGTGTCTTCTTTTTGCTTCGAACTCTTAATTGAGAATTTACTGTGGAAAGGACAAATTTCCACATTTTTTGGATTTTAAAAAAAAGGTAGATGTGTGGGGGTGGGGGGGATAATGGCCTTTTGGGAGTTGGGAGTTTATTCAAGTATGCTTCAATTATTCAATGACCCTGTGACACATTTAAAATGAAATTCCCTTTGCCATCCAAGCAAAGATGAAACCGGAACTAGTGTATAATTTAGTGGACTTTGTTTTAAAATTAACACTTCACCCAGATTTCAGTGTGGGTTTTTCAACGGAGCAGTGAAAATAAGTTTCAGTTTTAAGTTTGCTCTTTTCTTTTTTTTTTCTTTTAAGAAAAAGTTTACATTTTCAGGGGAGGGAAGCTTCAAATGCTCAACAGTTAAAGCGTTAGATGTTTGTGTGGCTTCTTTATGGCTGTTTATGACGCCTCGAGCTCCAGTGAATTTGCAAAACCATTCACCTCTTTTGTTAGAACTTGCTTTACTTTGTCTTGGGAGGGTTTGCCCTTCCTGTTGGACCTCCCTCAACACCTCTGCCCCCTGTAGTCCAAACTAAAAAGTGTGTCACCAAGTAAAGTTACAGTCAAATTAAACAGGACTCCAAGACTGAGTCATTTTTCAACCCAATCACAACAGTACTGGACACAAAAAAATGTATATAGAGTGAAAATGTATACCTTTACTTTTTTTCTCCTAATGAAGAAATACTGGTATTTGGACAATTTTTTTATAAATTCTAGACTGTCTTCAAGGAAGCATTGTATTAAATTCATAAAGATTTAAATGTGTACAGGTCAGGCTGGTCTGAGTTTTCATTGAATTTGATCTGATTTAAATCTTTATGACTTGGGAATTCTTAAAATGTCTGGCAAGATTAGACTATTTTCCACCCAGAGAGCTTCCTTTGGAGTGTTTGCATATTCAGTGCTTTTTGTCATGTAAGAATTTAAGACTGAACTCTGGATAACTAGTATTCTAGATTCCTATGAAATGGTTAATTGAAACTTGATTTTAATCTTTATTCAGTCATAGGGCATCTTTTGACTTATAAAGTATTGTAGAACAACTGAAAAGTGCAGTGGTTACAGTTAGTGTCTAAGTGTTTATTAAAATTAAGCGATTTTGAATTAACAGATAAGAACAAGAAATGACCATGAAACTAGCAGAAAATGTAAAATACTTCACTGGGAATGATTAAAATATCCCATTTTCCTTCCTTGTATCAGTGAAGAAACATAATCTTCCCTTTTTCAAATCTCCTATGGAAGGAGGAAGAATAACCATTTAAAATGTAGGGTAGTCACTAGATTGATTTTCCTATCAGTGACCTCAAAGAAAAGATGGTTAGGGCCTATTTCAACTGCCTGGCACCTCCTTGTCTCACATGCATGGCAACTTACTCACTTCACAGTAGCTTGTCTCTCCCACCAAGGGAGAGCATCATGGGAAAGGAATGTGAGAAGTTGACCTCTATGTCTGACCATTGATTGAGAATCTGACTTCAGAGTCTCATTACTCTATAGGACTCTTGTCATTGGCCACACACACACACACACACACACACACACACACACACAGGCCCTTTGCATAGTATTCAGTAGTTGAAAAACACAGTGACATCAGGTGGTCAAGGATAAATAGGTTTGGGATAGTTACCCTGCTGATGAAAGCAAGTGACAGCTGCCCTTTGTCCTTTCCTAGGTGTTGTTGCAGCATCTGGCAGTGAGACTGAGGATGAGGACAGCATGGACATCCCCCTGGACCTCTCTTCCTCAACTGGCTCAGGCAAGAGGAGAAGGCGGGGCAACCTGCCCAGGGAGTCTGTTCAGATTCTTCGAGACTGGCTCTATGAGCACCGATACAATGCCTATCCTTCTGAGCAAGAAAAAGCATTACTGTCCCAACAGACACACCTATCCACACTCCAGGTGAGGAGAAAGAGCGCAAGGTTCATGTAAAAGTTTCCACCCCCAACCTGGCATGCTGGGGATCATCCAGGGCTTGCTAGCACATGCTAGAATGAAAGCATGCTCTTTCACTGAGCTACACCCCCCAACCTGTGCATGCACCTTTATTTTCAAAGTCATTTTATAGCATTCTGGTGTGTCCAGTCACTAAGCTCCACCCATTCACAATAAAAAAAATGAATATCTCTTCTTTGTAAACTTTATCAAACTAGGAGCTAATAACTGGTTACTTAGAGGACACAGAAACACTTGACAGTCATCTGTCAGATAGCATTTCCTTTAATGCCTAAAAGAGCCTTCTTTTATGTAACCAACATTTTTTTAAAAGGTGGTTAAACCTTATTCTATTGCCCAGGAAACTGGTTTGATATTTAAACAAGGACAGACCTCGGTGAGGTCATTCATGTTATGTCTGTTGACACAGTCATTTGAACTGGGAAAAATCAGTTACTGGGAGGTGTGGCACTTTTCATACAGGACAAGTATTCCTGTAGTTGATTAACTTAAATGCTGGGGCAATAGGTAATAGGTTAAAATGGAGAGTGTTAAAGGTACCTGTTTTCCCCTTAAAGTCATTTTTTTCAGGTGTTTGAGAATTTATACTTTCTTTATAAGGCAGTATAGGGGCTTGAACTCAAGGCCTGGCCCATGTTCCTTAGCTTTTGTGCTCAAGGCTGGCATTTTGCTACTTGAGCCATAGCTCCACTTCCAGCTTTTTACTCGTTTCTTTTTCTGAGGGACTTTTCTGCTCAGGCTGACTTCATATCATGATTCTCAGATCTCCGCTTCTGGAGTAGCTAGGATTATAGGTGTGAGCTACCAGTGTCCAATGGGAATTAAGTCCAGTAATTGAGAGCTGACGTCTGTCAGGTGTTTGTTAGAATGCTGCTGAGTGAATGAGAAAATTCATATGTGTACTTATGGTTTCAGGTGTGTAACTGGTTCATCAATGCCCGCCGCAGGCTCCTTCCAGACATGCTGAGGAAGGATGGCAAAGATCCCAATCAGTTCACCATCTCCCGCCGTGGGGCCAAAATTTCTGAAGCCAGCTCTGTGGAGGTTGCCATGGGCATCAAAAACTTCATGCCAGCTCTAGAGGAAAGCCCATTTCATTCCTGCACAGCTGGACCTAACCCAACTCTGGTAGGGAGATCACTGTCTCCGAAACCCCCATCCCCAGGATCAGTTTTGGCTCGTCCATCCGTGATCTGCCATACCACTGTGACTGCATTGAAAGACGGGCCTCTGGCTCTCTGCCAGCCAGTTGGTGTGGGACATAGCACAGATATTCAGCAGATAGCAGCCAGCAGTTTCACAGAAACCTCACTCATGTACCCAGAAGATGCTTGTAAAAGTACACACACACAGAGTGGTCTTTTCAACACTCCTCCCCCTACTCCGCCTGACCTGAACCAGGATTTTAGTGGATTTCAGCTTCTAGTGGATGTTGCACTCAAACGGGCTGCTGAGATGGAGCTTCAGGCCAAGCTTACAGCTTAACCCCTTTTTGCAAGCAAAACACTTCTCCAAAACGTGATTGCCGGGGTGATGGCAAGAGTTGAATTGCATTATTTTATATATTTTTTTATTAATATTTGCACATGGGATTGCTGAAATGAAGCTTCCTGTTACTGATGTTTTCAATGGAATATCGTCATTCCAAGAATATAAACTCAGAGCTACTGTAGAAACAAAAGGGTTTTTTTTCTTTCTTTCTTTCTTTAATGTTTCTTGGTAGATTATTCATAATGTGAGCTGTTTCCCAATATCATGTGATTTTTTTTTTTTATTTCCCCCCCCTTTTTGTTGGTGTTTTTCAGACTGTGCAATACTTAGAGAACCCATAGCATCTTTCCATTCCTGTGTGGAACAGGTTGTCCACTTACTGTTTAATTAATAAATTTTCAATGTTTTTTTTTTTCAAACAAGTATGAATCTAGTTGATTGATGCCTTTTTTTCATGACGCGTAATAAAGTATTTTCTTTAAAAGTTATTGTAATGCAGAGTATTTTGTTGAAGGGAACACTTAAAAATGAGTAGGAATATTTCTACCTCTAAGACCCTGGGTTACATTTCCAGTACAGCTTCCAAAAGGTACATAAAGGAGGAATATAGTGCCCCCATCAGGAAGTTGGGGGTAGAATGAGGTGTGAGTTATAGGAGTGCCCTTTAAATATCCGGTGAACAAGAAGCTAGTATGTATAAACAGGATGTGTGGTGTTTACTCTCGATAGGAGGTACAACAGGCCCTCAAATCTTTGAGCTGAATTGCAAGTTGAAATGAATCACCTCATCGTTTAGCTAGCCACTCCATCCTTAGTGATCTTTGCTAGGGATTTTCAAACCTGGTCATGATAAATGAAAAGTCTTGAAGCAATGGTTATGGCCTATGTGTGCAGAAATGAACAACACAAACAACACAAGAAGCTTAGCATTGTACATCCAGGTTGATCTTTAAGATCACCTTTATTGAGTGATATAGTTAAGACCCTTGCATTCAAATGCAGCATTAAGTTGTAGAGAAATCTAGAACTATTTTATCCTAAGATGATGGGATAATCAGGTTGTGCTTATATGATAGTTGCTCAGGTTGTAAGTTTGCAAAAAAAAAAAAAAAGGTAGATGTACCAGTGGAGTTTGTTGGGATAGACGGTAACTTACAAAACCAATGGCCAGAAGGACTTGGTGGCATTCCTTTCACTTGTCACATGCCACAAAACCATTCTTTGCTGTCATGCTCACTGTGAAGTTTCTGTGGTTAGAGTTGTGCTTTCTAGCCCTGCCCCAGCTGTGAACTATCTTGAATTTAAGGGAGCACCACAGCTTCTGTATTGTTTAAAGAGTGTAGAAAACTTGGCATTAAGTTTGCACCATTTTTAAACCTTTATAGGAAGACTCTACTGTAAAAAGGAAAAAATACAAATGTTTTGTATTTTATTTACTTATTTTTTTGCCAGTCTGGGGGCTTGAACTCAGGGCCTGTGCACAGTCCCTGAGCTCTAGCTCAAGGCTAGATAGAGCTCTAGCTCTTGAACCACAGTGCCACTTCCAGCTTTTTCTGTTTATGTGGTGCTAAGGAATCAAACCCAAGACCTCATGCATGTGAGGCAAGCATTCTACCACTGAGTCACCTTCCCAGCCCCAAGGGTTGTATTTTAAACTGAAAATGAACTGAAATGTGTTTTCTAATCAGCAGGGTACTATTGGAAGGTCTCCTCAGCCTGGGTGGTGCCATATAAAAAGAACAAAACTACTACAAATGACACAGAAAGGGTTTTAAATTGTTGCTTTCCCCCCACCCCACCCCTCCCGATTTGAGCTTCAACACAAGACCTGGTCTCTGTCCCTTAGCTTCTTCTGCTAAAGTCAGAAGCTCTACCACTTGAGCTACAGCTTTACTTCCAGCTTTTTGGTGGTTAAATGAGAATTAGAATCTCACAGACTTTCCTTTCTGGACTGGCTTTGAAACGGGAGCCTCAGATCTTAGTCTCCTAAGTAGCTAAGCTTACAGGTGCTTGCCACTGATACCCAGAAGAACCATTGCTTTAATAGCTGGGTTAGAAGCCATAAATATGTTGTAGTACAAATGGAGACCAACAGTTCCTGACAGCTTTCCCATGTTATGGTATTAATCATACTACAAGGGGGAGAAACATCTCAAAAGTAGGGCCAGGAATATAGCACATCCTTAGAAAAGTGCTTGTCTACATTGAATATCTTAAGTCCCACGGTTTGGGGCTCAAGCAATAAAAGAAAAAAATGAAACATAAAGCTTAAAAAAAAAGTCTGAGTAGTGTTGGCCTTAGTTAATTTTTTTAAGATTAAGAACGGATCCTAGTTATTAAGAGGTGATAGATAATAAATATAAGCCCTTTTTTTTTTTTTTTTTTTTTGGTCAGTCATGGGGCTTGAACTCTAGGCCTGGGCATTGTCCTTGAGCTCTTCAGCTCAAGGCTAGCATGCTACCACTTGAGCCACAGTGCCACTTCTGGCCTTTTTTTTCTGTTTATGTGGTGCTGAGGAATCGAGCCCAGGGCCTCATGCATACGAGGCAAGCGCTCTACCACTGAGCCACCTTCCCAGCCCATAAACCATTACTTTTCTTTCTTTCTTTCTTTTTTTTTTTTTTTTTTGGTCAGTCATGGGGCTTGAACTCTGGGCTTGGGTGCTGTCCCTGCGCTCTTCAGCTCAAGGCGAGTGCTCTACCACTTGAGCCACAGCACCACTTCCAAGCCAGTATTTTTAAGACAGGGAAATTAACTCAAAAGATAAATTGGAAAGCTAGTCATATCAGCCTGTGTGCTGGTACATATCTGTAATTCCAGCCCTCAGGGTAAAGTAGGAGGATTGGGAGTTCAAGGCTAGCCTGGGTTACATAGTCAGATGCTATCTCAAAAGAAAACAATACTTTATCAAAGCCCCAAATGGTTTTTATGCTATCTCCATAGTGTACCCCGCCCCCTCCAGTCCTGGGGCTTGAACTCGGGGCCTGGGCACCATCACTGAGCTGCTTTTGCTCAAGGCTAGGGCCCTACCGCTTGAGCCACAGGGCCACTTCCAGCTTTTTTGAGTTTATTGGAGATAAGAGTCTCAGACTTTCCTGCCCAGGCTGGCTTCAAACCCGACCCTCAAATCTTAGCCTCCTGAGTACGTAGGATTCCAGGCATGAGCCACAAGCGTCCAACTCTTGTTTACTTTTAACCTACTTGTGCTTTTGTGTTTAAAATAATCACAGATCTTTAGTTAGGTATTCCTTTCTATCAGGTCTAATGATCTCTGCCTTTTTCTCTGGGTTTGGTCACTTTATATGTTACGTGTCTATTCACGTGTTTGAATTCAGTTTACTAATTTTTTCTTTCTCTTTTCATGGTCGCTGAATATTTATTAGAGATCTTTTTCTGTTGGCTTCTAAGCTATATAGCCAATTCTTTCTTTCTTTCTTTCTTTCTTTGCTTTAGACAGGGTCTTCCTCTGTAGCTCAGGCTGGCTTCAAATTTAGAATTATTTTGTGTTGGTCTCCTAAGAATTGGAATTACAGATAAGAGCCTAGCTGGTTTTTTTGTAATTTTTTTTTAATTATAGTGATTACAACATACATCTAATATGTTACAATCTGTTGTTATATAACTTCATATTAAATGTAAAACTTGACAATGGTCTAGCTCCACTAATCTTTATTTTTCATATATATTACAGCTATGTGCATGATAAATCCAATAATACAATTTGCATTTCTTTGTTCTTAGAATGGGCTCATGTCTGATAAACAAGAGAATAACATTCATATATGTGGTATACATGTAATACATATAACATGTTATTTGTACATATGTGTATGTATATATATATGTATGTATGTATGTACAATTTCTAGTGCTCTTCATTACCTCTCACAAAGCCCAGTGAAAAATAGTGTCATTTTCTCTGGGAGAATTTCCTTAAGAATTGTACTGTTGGGCTGGGTGCCAGTGGCTCATGCCTGTAATCCTAGCTACTCAGGAGGCTGAGTCATCCCAGGCAGGAAAAGTTCGGGAGACTCTTATCTTTTATAAACCCCTCAGAAAACCAGAAGTGGCGCCGTGGCTCAAGTGATAGAGCGCTGGCCTTGAGCTGAAGAGCTGAGGGACAGTGCCCAGGCCCAGAGTTCAAGCCCCATGACTGCTCCCCTCCGCCCCCCCCCCCAAGGAAAAAAAAAGAATTGTACTGTTGGGGCTGGGAAGGTGGCTCAGTGGTAGAGTGCTTGCCTTGCATGCATGAGGCATGAGTTGGATTCCTCAGCACCCATAAGCAGAAAAAAAGCCAGAAGTGGCAATATGGCTCAAGTGGTAGAGCATTAGCCTAAGGCCTGAAGAGCTGAGGGATAGCCCAGGCCCAGAGTTGAGGCTCGGGACCCCAATCAACTGGGTGTGGTCATGCCCATCTGTCATTCTAAATATTCAGAAGGTATAAATAGGAGGACCATGGTCCGGGCTAGCCCAGGCAAAAATGAGGTCCTCTTTGAGAAATAACTGAAGCAAAAAGGGCTAGAGGCATGGCTCAATTAGTGGAGTACTTGCTTAGTGCTTGGTTTAGTGGTAGAATACCTGCTTAGTGAGGCCCTGAGTTGATAAGCCCTCTACTCCCAATTTTTTTTTTTTTTTTTTGGGTCCGGTCGTGGGGCCTGAACTCTGGGCCTGGGCGCTGTCCCTGAGCTCTTCAGTTCAAGGCTAGTGCTCTACCACTTGAGCCACAGCGCCACTTCCAGCTTTTTTTCTTTTTGCTTATGTGGTGCTGAGGAATTGAACCCAGGGCCTCAGGCATGCAAGGCAAGCACTCAACCACTGAGCCACCTTCCCAGCCCCCCAAATTTTTTCTTTAAGTGTTAGTAAAAAATATTCTTAGTTTATTGAAAGTCATTTTATTTTCATCTTATGGAGAACTCTAGGTTGATCATTTCTTTTTTTGGGGGGGAAGGGGAGATCCGGTCGTGGGGCCTGAACTCTGGGCCTGGGCACTGTCCCTCAGCTCTTCAGCTCAAGGCTAGCACTCTACCACTTGAGCCACAGCGCCACTTCTGGCTTTTTTCTTTTTTGCTTATGTGGTGCTGAGGAATCGAACCCAGGGCCTCATGCATGCAAGGCAAGCGCTCTACCACTGAACCACCTTCCCAGCCCCAATCATTTCTTTTTGGAAAAGGCCAATATTGTCTCCGCCCTCTGGTGTTGGATGAGCTACCAACTGTCACTTGGATCTTGGTTCTGTTGTATGTGATGTCTCTCTCCAGCCATGTTTTCTTTGTGTTTATCTTTTTTTTTTTTTTTTTGAACTCTGGGCCTGGGCGCTGTCCCTCAGCTCTTCAGCTCAAGGCGAGCGCTCTACCACTTGAGCTACAGCGCCACTTCTGGTTTTCTGGTGGTTTATTGGAGATAAGAGTCTCACGGTCTCTCCTGCCCGGGCTGGCTTTGAACCGCGATCCTCAGATCTCAGCCTCCTGAGTAGCTAGGATTACAGGCG